TTGGTTTTAGCACAACACCGACAGAAAGTGACTTTCACTTAGACAAGCCTTAGGTCACCGGAAAAATTACACGATGACTAAGTTCTTTCTTCCCGGTTAACGCTGGAATTACGCACAGCGATCTTTTCTCACTAATGCTCTGATACCATGTGAGAAGACACGGGAGAAAATATGTTATTGATATTGGATGATAAATACAATACAAGAGGTCCCTATTTATAGCTATAAACTACAANGGTTAACGCTGGAATTACGCACAGCGATCTTTTCTCACTAATGCTCTGATACCATGTGAGAAGACACGGGAGAAAATATGTTATTGATATTGGATGATAAATACAATACAAGAGGTCCCTATACAGTACAAGGAGATATTACTCCTTTTCCAATGTGGGAAAGACTACACTATACATATCTATAAACTAACAACCTCAACAACAGTCGAAAAATAAGGAATCTCATTTCTAGCCACTTCCTACTGTTTTAACTGTTGATTCCACGCCATCTTTGTCGATTTAATACGAGCTGAAGAATATCACGCTACAACTGTTGGCTGGCGTTGACTACTTTTGTTTGATTTTAACTTGGTCCTGATTTGAGCTATCTTCTATGCTCATTGTTCCTCTAACTATCTCATTTTATTAAGATCAGTACAAAGGCAGGAGGTCTGATGCATTTAACGAGAACTCATAAACTGCTGAAACTGAAAAGATTCCTTGTGCATAATAATTACAAAAAAGGCGACTAAAGACCCCAAATAAATTTGTATTTCTGTACAAAATGTCTGGAAGATGAAAAACAACATAGAACGGCCTTGCATTAATAAAATTCAGTACATGTTAAATATCATCGATAAAGTTAACAAAATAGGTAAAACCAACCCCAAACATTGTTTTTGTTCGAAGAAGTAAGGGATTATCATTAATAAGCATCAAGAAGATGCAGAGCAAAAGATATAAAAATTACAATACTGTTTGATGGTGTCTGCTCATATACAAAAACTAATCTAAAGCTAAGGAGTAGACACAATCCAAAAAGTTCTCATAGATAGATACAGGGGCCTGATTGAGCCAACTAAATACATTCAGTAAGCATCTGCCGTTGAAAGGAACAAGCATGCTTACTAAGTTGTGGGAAATTGGAAATTCACCAAAATGAAAATAGCTAGCCTGATAACCGTCCGATACTCATTGGAGGATAGTGGAAATTGAATGGAAAGGGTTCCTAGGGCGCCCACGAAGGTGTGCTTTTTTGCATGGCTAGCGGCAAGGGGAGTGATTTTGACTGCTGAAAATCTCCGAAAGAGGGGAATTACACTTGTTAGTTGGTGCTACATGTGTAAAAGCTCAGGAGAAGAAGTTGATCACCTTATGTTGCATTGCCCTGTGTCCTCAGCTTTGTGGAGGGCAATCCTGAATCTCTTTGGTGTTCAATGGGTGATGCCAAGCACTGTAAAGGAAATGTTATATAGCTGGGGCGGTTTCCGTAGAAGAAGAAAGCAAAAGGCGTGGAAATTCGCTCCGTTAGCTCTCATGTGGGTAGTATGGGGGGAGAGAAATAGGAGAGCTTTTGAGGAGATTGAGTCTCCTTTTTCACATCTTAAGAATAGCCTTTTATCTTTGATCGCTTTTTGGTGCACTCACTTAGCCCCTACTTGTATAGAAGATTGGGCGTCTTTTGTAGAGAATCATGTTCTGATGTAAATTCTCTACGTCGTTGGTATACTTTGTGTACACGGGAGTTCTCTCCCTTTTGATTAATACGATTTACCTTATCAAAAAAAAAAGAACACTTTGCTCGAAATCTTAAGAGGCAAAAAAAAGATTCTCAACTAATCCCTAAAAAAACACTCAAAAATATATAATTTGGGATATTACATTGTATAAACACTGACATCAAAAGGGGATAATTTAGACTATCCAATAATGTGAATCTGCGACTAATACCAAAGATCTAATCTTGCTTACAGCAATAATAAATTGGTTTGGATTCTCTCTACCTACTAGTAGTACGACAAAGATGGCTAATAGTAATAATAATAACAATAAATAGCTTGTACATTACAAAACAATAACAAAGAGATGATCAAGTCGGATAAGTCTTATGAAATAACTCATAAAATGTGTGTTATGACTAAGAGAAAATTCCAGTTTTATGCTTACTAGGGCCGAGGACAAGCTAATGACATTGCACAGCAGGACAAAAGTTCTGCTACTTGACTGAATAACCACTTAAAGTGCCACACATGTAACATATACATTGCATAAAGGCACACCGAAACAATTCACGATATTATAGCCCCAAAAACAATTCTTATATCTACAAGACAGAGAATGGCTGTTAATGTCAGATGATGCATAGACAATCAAAAATCATTATGAAATTTAAGCTTATTTTGATCTTCTGCAAGTTTCTTATACTAGCATCAACTCTAAAGTGTTTACAACTTGTAAAATACCATCTCTTTCTGTGAAGTGCTTTCATGAAACACCAGCTTAAATTTCAGATAATATTTGGGAAGTAGAAAAATCATTGCAGAATACAACCTGAGTGGCCACCAGTGTTATTAAAAGCCATCCCTTTGTCGCTTAAAGAGATGAAGCGATGCGAAGCAAGGGGTTATCGCTTCATTACTGAAACCATGCGCTTCATAGAACTTTGCACTTCAAACAACGACACGCAAAGTTATCTCTATAAGAAGGGGTATGTTCTTTGAATCTCAACTTTGAGGAGTAAGATTAATACCAATGTTATTGTAAATCAGATACTAAAATTAGTTACTGTAATTGCAGGTTAATCATTATAGTACTGAATTCACAAATGTTTGGTATTCTTTTAATGTCGTAAATTCTGCGCTTCACTTCTCGCTTTTCACTTAAAAGTCCTAGATATCTCGCCAATTTTTTGTGCTTTTCGCTTTTAAAAACACTGCTAGCCATCACCTTTCATAATGGTAAAATACCATCAAGGAATGCTTTGCGCCTATCCAATCATGGTATTTTGTGCCTTGATGAATTTAATATATCCAACTAGTTGAAGGCCTAAATACAAAGAAACATTGTGTTAGGGCCATGCTACTCATCTGAGATTTTGCTTCAGGCTTTTAATGGAGACACAGTGAGAGGAACAAGCAACAGATTCTTCATAAATACTTGTTCTCAACCTAGAGTGTGATGTCTGAAATCAGAGGACTCTATCCAATTCATAAGTTATATTTGGTGGAGTAACTCAACAATAGCATTTTCCTTTTAGACTGTTACGAAGCAAAATAGTATTGAAACATGATAAAAGTAACTTATGCAGATATTATAGCAAATTTGGCACATAACCAAAAGTGACATTCTCAGGAGGTTTCTTTTGCTTACTGGCTTAACGGAATGAATGTAGTTCTGAAGAAAATGCAGTGACATGCCAGAGAATTAAATACCAAAGAAGGAATATTAGGAGGGAAAAGAGGAGAAGTTACAGTTAAGAGTGAGCGAAACAACGAATGGGGAGAAATGAGCATCAACCTACAGTATGTTTCAACCACAGCAATGCTAGGCACAGCCTGCAATGAAATGATAGAATGATATTAATCATTCACAACTGGTACAATGAACCTTCAAAAGAATAAGGGAACGAGGAAATACTAGCTTGCTCCCAGTGAGACTGGAGTTGGTAATAAAGCTGCAGTAAATGTGAAAGGATAATAACCCTTCCAAATGACATGATCAAAGCAAATAAAACCACAAGAAAGAGTGGACAAGGGAGACCTACAGATCCATTCAATCTTATAGTATTAATCATGAGTACTAAACTTTTTATATATATAGAAGGCATGTAGATGAATTGATCAGTGATCTTGAGATTCTCTTGAGAAAAAAATTCTTTATTCTTTTTACTTTTGGAAAAGACCAACAGGAGGAAACCATAGTAAGTACCTGTCCAGAAAACATTGATTCTTCCATCTGATAAGCCAGTTTCAAGCACAAATTTGTGGAAAATCCTGATAACAATGATATTGGCAGCGGGCTAACTTCACGCATCACCACTAACCTCTCGTTAGACTGCAAAGTTGGTCCAGGTAAAAGCTCAGTAACCCCAGCAGAGGTTAACCAGTGCATTACAGTTTCACAAGCAGGCTGGGCCATTGTGTAGGACACAACCCAAAACATCCCAACCGATCTATCATCCAACTTCATATAATCCATCATGCGTTCTCCTGATTTTATGGAAATGACAAAAAGATGATAATCAAAAGCCATCTCAAAGGAGAAGGGTTTGGATAGGCGAAGTAATACTCCATAGCTAGAAACCGAAGAGATGCCCAGTTCCATCCAAACCTAGTATAAACATAAAGACCTCTCTATGTTCACTAGAAATGGCTGCATGATAGCACAACAGAGAAGAGAGAAGACCCCCCTCTGACTCACATAGATGGAAAAAGGTTTGAGCAATATTAAAATATAAGAACACACGCTCACCATCCACACGACATAGACTAGGACGCATTGAGAGGGCTGCATACCCATTCAACCCAAGTAGGTTCTGCTCAGTTCCTCATGAGTTACCAAACTAAAGCCTACCCAGAGCTCGACTGGACATGGAAAGTATCTTCAGATTGGGTTCAGCAGCTTGATTGCTGCTTGCCCTTGAAAAAGAGGTACTCCATCATTGCACGAGAAACAAATTACACTCTTGGTCTCCTTTATGTGACGTCACTTGACTAGACACTGAGCTTAAGATATTAGTTGGGCTTATATATTGAGTACAAGCGAAGAAAATATCAAATGATGGTTGAAAAGTTAGTTTGATTAATGTAACGGAAAAGTTGATTAATGTAACGGAAAAGGGCCAACTATACCCCTGTACTATTGAAAAACGTTTGAATATATCCTTTGTTGCACTATGTGGCTATTTCGGACCCTACCATTATACTATGGTACAAATATACCCTTATTTTGGACTAAGTGTCACATGGTTGCACTGGATTAAAAAGACACATCCCCATTTTTTAACCCAGTTTACACAAACATTACCCATTACCCAACCCAAAGTCCCCCAAACTTAAGAAAAGCTTCTGAACGAAAAAGAACCCTTATATCAATTGATAAGGAAGAAGAGCATGATCACGATTGCGCCAACCAGTTTCTTCCTATAAATCGAATGCGACGGGTGACTGACCATTGCTGTCCTTTTCCCTAAACTGGAATCTTGTGGCATTGTTGGCAAAATACTTACGGACTACTTCGCCTGCAGCATCAACAGCTTTACCGATAATTTTGGAAAGGTGATTTAGCCCCATGTCGCTCACCATTGTTCTGTTAAAATTTGAATGCAGAGAGAAGTTAAATCAAATAGTTTTGCCTATTTTCTATGATGTTGATCCTTCCAAGTGCAAAAGCAAATTGGGCGCTTCGGTGAAGCTTTGGCTATACACAAGGAACAATTTGGGGTTCAAAGCATTGAGAAATGGACAGCTATAAGGTGGGTGTACTGGTGAAGTAAGAAGGAAGAAAAGGGAGAAGATTTCAAAATCCAAATAGAAAAAGGAATTTGAGATTCCAACAGTAATTTGATATTTTTTCAATCTTCATTTTTTCGCATAATTTGACAAAGGGGGAGAGGTGAAATAATGTTTAAGTGAACTAGGTTTAAAAATGGGGATGGGTCCTTTTAATCACATGCAGCCACATGGCAGTCCCTCCAAAATAAGAGTATATTTGTACCATAGTATAACAGTAGGGACCGAAAATAACCACATAGTGAAACGAAGGGTATATTTAAACCATTTTCAATAGTATACGGTATATGTAGCCAGGTGCCCTAAATTTCTCCTTGTCCCCGAGGTACTGGAAAGGACATATTAAAATGGGTCTATCGTAAGCAGACTTACCTTACTTTTCTGCAAGGGGTTATTACTACATTTGAACTCATCTCCTAGTCACATAGCGACAATTCTTACCATTGCGCTTAGACTCCCCTTCTTAGTTTAAATTAACAAAACGGACACCCTCATCGAAATTCAAGTTTACTTAGTCTGAATTTGAATACTTGAAAATAGCCAGAATTATAAATAATATTGTAAAAAAAATGGTGTCCAATATTTTGGATGTTCCATACCAAAAAAGAGTTATAGAAATTGAGCCAGATACTCTAAAAAACTTCAGATTGCATGCAATAACTCCCAAACATTTTTATGTTTATTGCATAGCAATGAATAACTCATTGTAAGAATATAGGATTCTTAATTTAAGAACAAAGTTGCATATTACCAATTAAAAGCTCGGATTCAGTTGCAACAAAAACCGAAGAGGCTTGTAAGATTAACAAGGGAAGATTCGATTGTATTACTAACAGGGAAAAGGAACTCCTAAGAATTTCTTGTACGAATGTGTGCCTTTAAACTAGTATTGCGGCAAAATTCACTTTGTAGAAGTCAAACTTCAATTATTCGAGCATGAATATTTTTAAAAATTCAATAACTTTCTAAAAAAAAAAGAAATTTTTCATAAAGAATTCATTATTTTTACATATATAACTAAAAGAGCACCAAGAAAGTTCAATGTATGAACAGGGGATACAAGGATGAAAGCTCTGTCCCTATTGAGTATTGTAGGGCGTTAATGTACACACTTTTATCAAGTTTCCAAATGTCAAATTTCACACTAAGAGATCATCATTTCATAGTTTGATGGTAGATGGCCTTATAAAAATTAGGCCAGAATATTATCAACTCAGACCTCCAACACCAGCACTGTGTTGCTTAGCCTTGCACCTAAAGCACAGAAGTTGAAATCATACATGCATATCACTGTGTTAATATCAGTATTAAAAGTCATTGTTTTGTCGCTTAAAACAATGATGCAACAAGAGGTTATCGCTTCATGCAGTCCATAAAAATATGTGCTTCAAACAATGACACCCAAAGTGATCCAAACGAGCAACGGTTGATTATATGAATCTCAACTTTGAGGAGTTAGATTAATATCGACATTATTGTATATTGGATGCTGAATTTAGCTATTTTAGTTGCAATTTGATTACTCCCTGTTGCAATTTATGTGACACACTTTCCTTTTTAGTCTATCTCAGGAAGAATGATACATTTCTACATTTGGAAACAATTTAACTTTATAATTTTTATTTTACCCTTAGTGAGATGAATTATCGTGACACAGATGTCTATGGCTTGTTGTTTTTTTTTTTTTGGTCACATACATATTTGTATATTAATAAAAAAATACACAAAGGGTGTGTAGTCCCCCATACTTGCAAGAATTAAAACAAACTCCTAATCCTTAGTCTTCTCGTACGGATTCTAATACATCAAAAATAGATTCAGGTTCTTCTAAGACTTCTTGTTTACACCAAAAATAAAACAGGACAAGACATTTCATTTTCAATTTTTTGATGCTACTGGCCTTGTCCTCAAAACATCTCTGATTTCTTTCTTCCCAAATTGTCCACCAAATGCAAGCAGGGACAATCCTCCATCTCTCTTTCTCGCTAGAAGATATACCCTCATTGTTCCAGCATGCTAGTACCTCAAGTATTCTTCTTGGCATAGTCCACCTGATGCCCCTCAAACTAATGAATATCCTCCATAACTGAGTTGTCCATCTACAATGTAAAAAGAGATGATTTATTGTCTCTGCCTCTTGTCCACATAAGTAACACTTGGAACAAAGTTGATAACCTCTCTTGATAAGGTTATCCTGAGTCAACACTACTTCTTTTGCCAATAACCATGTAAAGCAAGCAATTTTGTATGAAATCTTAACTCTCCATATCATCTTCCATGGCCAACATCCAATATGATTGTTTGAAAAATTGAACTCCTTGTAGGCAGATTTAACTTTCCTTGCTTATGCCCTTGCCATATCATGCAGTCTTTTCTAGTTGAAGTCCCTTTAAACTGCTCTAGAGTATTATAGAACTGTGTTACTCTGCCAATCTCCCAATCATTCAGAAGCCTTCTGAATGTTAGATTCCAGCCTTGGTTTGCCCATACCTCTCCAACTGCTTGCTGTTGATTTAGGGAGTGAATGTCGGGAAAAAGTTGTTTCAAAGCTCCTTGACCTATAATTGTCTTCCCAGAAGGATATCTTCATTAAATCCCTAACTCTGACTTTAGACTTGGTCATCATTTTAGGCCACAAATTTCTAATAGATTTCCAGAGACTGATCCCATATAGACTATTAACCACTTTGGTTGTCCATTCTTCTTCCATCTCATAATTTTCTTTAATCACAAGTTTCCATTAGGTTGATCTTCTGCTGCAAATCTCCATAGCCATATCATCATCAAGCTTTGGCTCTGGACTTTCAAATTCTTGATCCCAAGACCCCCTTCCTTTTTGCTAGCTAAAAGAGACACCCATTTAACCAAATGAATTTTTTTATTGTCACTATTACCTTGCCATAAGAAGTTTCTTCGTAATGCATCTATCCTTTTCAATACATTTGCTGGAATGGGAAAGAGAGACATCATATAAGTAGGCATTGCATCAAACACAGAATTAATAAGAATCAATCTACCCCCCAAGGACAGGTACTGATTTTTCCAATTTGTTAGCTTCTTCTCACATTTTTCTAACACCCCATTCCATATCCCTTTTGACTTACTCTTGGCCCCTAAAGGCATCCCCAAATAAACTATTGGCAACTCCCAAATCCGTCCTCCAAGAATTCCAGCTAAGCTATGAATTTCTTCCACCTCATTAACTGGATGTATAAAACTTTTGTTCCAGTTAATGTGCAATCCAGATGTGGCTTCAAAGAGAATGAAGATCACCCTCAGCATCATCAGTTGGTTCTTATCAGCTTCACAAAAGACCAATGTATCATCTGCATATTGAAGATGAGATATCACCAAATTGCTACCAACCCTGGAACTCACTTTGAAACCCCTAATCCAGTTGTTGATTTGAGTTGTCTGTATCATATGATTTAGACCTTCTGTGGCAATGATAAAGAGGAAGGGGGACAAAGGATCCCCTTGTCTCAAACCTCTTTGAGAAGAAAAGAATCCAGCTGGAGAACCATTCACTAGTATTGAAAATTTGACCGTGCTGATACAAAATTTGACCCAAGTAATCCATCTCTCTCCAAAACCCATTTTCATGAGAGTTCCTAGAAGGAAATTTCAATTTAAATGATCATATGCCTTCTCAACATCTTATTTGCATAATATCCCAGGTTCTTTGCTTTTGGTTCTTATATCTACACATTCATTTGCTATTAAAATAGTATCCATAATTTGCATGCCTCATATGAGGGCCATTTGTTGTGTATCCACCAGTTTATTCACCACTTTCTTAAGTCTCTCTGATAACAACTTTGAGATAATTTTGTAGACGCTACCAATAAGACTGAAAGGCCTGAAGTCTCTCAATTCCTAAGCTCCAACCTTCTTAGGTATCAATGCTACAAAGGTAGCATTGAAGCTTTCTTCAAATATTCCTTGAGCATGGAAATTTTGAACAGCAACTACCACTTCATTGTGAATCACTTCCATGCACATGCCTCAACACTTTCCCATATCTCCTGTTCTCCAAAAGGACTTTGCAGCATTTGATTCTCATTCTCCTCTGGGTAATCATAGGGCAATCCCTAAGATTACCTTGTGGTCTCCACACCTCTGATTTTGTATATAACTTCAGGTAGAATGTGACTATTTCTCTTTTGATGTCTACAATGTTCTCCACAGCTACTCCTTCAACTATCAACAGGTCAATATTATTATATCTTCTATGAGCATTTGCAGTTCTGTGGAAGAATTTTGTGTTCCTGACTTCATGTCACCTTGTTTCAACCAAAGAGCCCTGGATCTTTGTCTCCAAGCCACCTCCTCTTGTTTAGCAATCTCCTCAAATTCCATTGACAAGGTTGAGTATGAAACTCAGTGCACATGAGCATGATTAGTTGTCAAAGAGTAAGCCGTGGAGCATAAAGATTGTCATATACCATGATAAAAATAGATGAACTATAAAGGAAGTTTGAGTACTTAAAAAAGACATCACTTTCACTAAGAATAGTAATCAGCTTGTAAGGTTTTGTTAACATACGTTATGTTCGATAAAGCATATATTTGAGGAAGATGAGCAATATGTTATGAGATGATATAGTATGTGAATAAAATATTTTTCAAAACATTTAAGCCAACAAGCATGAAAAATTTGGAAAATTGTGACGACCCGAGCGGTCGTTTTGAGCATTTGCATTCCGTTCAGTGGTTTGAGGTCTTGAGTAGCTTCATATGAGATATTATGACTTGCGTGTATGGTCGATTTTGATTTTCGAGTGGTTCGAGATTGATTTGGAGAAATGATTTTTAATTTGAAAGCTTTAAGTTGGAAGAGTTGACCAAGTTTGACTTTTGTGTATTTGACCTCGGATCAGGATTTTGATGGCTCTGTTAGGTCCGGATGGTGATTTTGGACATGGGTGTGCCCGGATTGGTAATTGGATGTTTCTAGAAGGCTTTGGCTCTAATTGGCGAAAGTTAGTAATTTGAAGGTTTGGAAAATTCATGGGTTTGACCGGAAGTTTACTTCGATGTTTATCGGGTTCGGACTGTTGTTCCAGGAGTTGGAATAGGTTCGTTATGTCATTTGGAACTTGTGTGCAAAATTTGAGGTGATTGAATTTGAAAATTTGAAATAGTTCACTAAGCTTGAATTGAGGTGCAATTCGTGGTTCTGATGTTATATTGTGGGATTTGAGGCCTCGAGTAGGTCCGCGCTATGTTTTGGGACTTATTGGCATGTTCGGACGGGGTCCCGAGGGGCTCGGGTGTGTTATAGATTGATTTGGACCATTTCGAAGTTTGCATGAGAAGTTGGTTTCTGGTGCTCCAGTTGAGCTTCGCAATCACGAGAGCAGAGTCGCGATCGCATTGAGTATTTGGTCAGTTGGGTTGGTAGTTCATCGCGTTCGCGTAGAAGCAATAGCGTTCGCGAATAAGGAAACTGGACTGGAGGAGATTGTTCTTCGCGTTCGCGTGAAGTCAATCGCGTTCGCGAATAAGGAAACTGGGAGCTGGTGGTGTTGCTTTCGCGTTTGCGAGGTCTATATCGCGATCGCGGAGCGTCGACTTAGTTGTGCATCGTGATCGCGAACCTGGGGCCGCAAACGCATAGTGTAAGCTTCGCCATGTGGGTCCCGCGATCGCGAAGGGTACACCTGAGGCAGAGGTATTAGTATTTTCGGACTTTTACTCATTTTTATCACATTTTGAGATTGGGAGCTCGGATTTGGGCGATTCTTGAGGCGATTTTCACAATTTGGATTGGGGTAAGTATTTTTTACTCAGATTTGATTATTTTACATGATTCTATCTTTCATTGTGGCATTTCAGAGATGAATCTAAAAGAGAATTTGGGAGTTTTTGTCTAAACTTTTCTAAAGAGAATAATTGAGTTTTGAATATCGATTCGGAGTCGGAATTGGATGAAACTAGTATGGATGGACTCGTATTCGAATGGGTTGTCGGAAATTTTGAGTTTTGTCGAGTTCCGGGGTGCGGGCCCGTGTTGACTTTGAGTATTTGATTAAAGATTCGACTTTTATCGTTTGGGTTTGTTTCCTATGGCATTATTTGATGTTTTTGAGTTGCTTTTGGCTAGTTTCGAGCCGTTCGCAGGTCAGATTTGTGCGGAATGGAGCTTCTAGAGTATTGTTTTGGCTTGTTTGAGGTAAGTAACATATCTAAACTTGGATTTGAGGGTAATTATCCCCAAGAACTATGATATTTGAAATGTGTTGGGGGTGACGCACGTGCTAGGTGACGGGCGTGTGTGCGTGCACCAGGATATTCATGATCCGGGTAGACTTTAGACTGTTATGGGACTTGTTTTGCTATCATACCTCGTTATATCCGTTTTTTCTCTACTTGTATGATTATTTGAGTTATGATTCATGTTAGAAATCATGTCTAGGCTATGTGCTTATTTGTTTGAGACATGATAGGGCTATTCTTGCAGTTTTTGAGTTGTTTGCCTTAATTGTACATGATACTATATCTGTGTATGCTATCTCTATCTCAGTGCATGTTGTTGATGCCACATGTGTAATACTGTTGAATTGAGTATTGTGATGTCTCACAGGTTGTTGATGCCTCATATACTGTTGAACTGAGTACTGTGAGATGGGGTTAACTGAGACTTGAGCGATTGATGACCGAAGTGAGCTATAGAGCCATATTGTGATTTATATTTAGATTGAGTTGCATGCCGCAACGGTTTGATACAGTGTTTTGGATAGCGTGCGGCGACAAATAGCGACGAGGGCCCGCTTCACTATGGCGAGAAGCGAAGCGCTCGCCTTTTTTATGTGAAGCGACAATTTATACAAAAATAAAATATTAAATTTGCATATATATATACAAAACTAAAAGCTTAATAGCAATAATATATTAATAAATATATCAATTCAAAAATTAAAACTCAATAGATAGTCATAGTTGATTCATAAACTAAAACAAGCAACATCTATTCTTCTTCAAGATTTTCAAATTCTTGAACTTCAAAAATGTTAGCATTATATTGGCTATTATCTTTTTCATCCTCGGAGTCTTCATCAATTAGGGACCGACTTGAACTTGTAACTACTCTATTTCCCTTGTTATTTGAACTTGAAGAACTCCCTTTAAGACCATAGATATTCTCCTCAACTCCAGCCGCTATAGAAACAGTCTAAGTTGCTCGGACTCGGGTGCGGGTGTCCGATACGGGTGCGGATCTAGAGGTCAGATCCTTCATGATCTAAATTTAAAGATTCGGGGGTACGGATCCAGGTACGGATACGGGTGCAGGGATTCGGCTAAAAATAATTCAATTATTTAAAAATAGAGTTATAAAAATATGTCTAAATTATGAGACATTATGTGAAAAACTTACAAGGTATTCCGAGAAGAAGAAAATATTGAACAAGAGTAGAATTTTAGAAGGAGATAAAAGGAAAAGGACTGACATAGAAATTTATATATACAAGGTATTCCATTTTCTTCCATATCACCCTAGCTTTTGATTTGTTTTCAAAAATCATTGTATCTGTCCCAAATTTCTCCGTTGATTTTGGTCAAAGTAGCCAAAATCGGTTGACCAGATCCAACACGGATCCCACACCCATACCCACACCCACGTCGTGTCGACACGGGTGCGGCACTGAAAGTGAAGAGTCCGAGCAACTTAGAAAACAGTACCCTAATCGAGATCATCTCCTACATACACTTGTTCATCTTCATGATTTGTGGGGCTCCAGTTAACCATATTCATTTGCCTCGTCAATGTTATCCAACAAAATTGGATCAATGGTATCGCGAGCGTCATAACGACGCTTCAATGTTCTATTGTATTTAATATACACTAGATCATTGAGATGCGATAACTCAAGTCTATTCCTTTTCTTGGAGTGAATTTGCGCATAAGTTGTAGAGATTAATTAATAGATGCCACTAATAATACAATATAGAATATATTATTATAATAAATTTGCTTCTTACATGCTCAAATACGTTCCAATTTTGCACTAGAAGTTAAGCTTAGTACTTTGACGGCAAACTTTTGCAAGTTTGGAGTTTGAGGACCAAATTGCATCCACCATTCAACTATAGAAAAATATTTTAAAAGTTAATAAGTATAAATAAATCAAATAAATTAAATTAAAACTATAAGGATATCTATATTAAAGTTAGTTACCTTGCAACCTTATGTCTCTGGCTCTAATAGTCGTCTGTAAACCAAATAGGCCATCTGCTTGTGTGTACTTACCAAACTCCTCCCCTATTTGATCTACAATCGTTGCATCGGGGACCAACTTCTCAAGACATTTATGGTATCCAACTCACACCTCTGAATCTAAAGTGCCATCTCTATTATTCTTGTAAAACAATCCCGGGTTCAAAATATGGCCTGTTGCACGCCAAGGTCGATGGAATTGATCCGACCACCTTCTATCAATAATCTCAAAAACTTTCTCATACTTCCTCATATCACGCTTAAATGACGCTTCAATAGTTCCTTTGGCTCTATCCATAGCTTCATAAAGATAGCCCATTGGTGGTTTTCTCTCCCCATCCACCATACGAAGTACCCTAATCAAAGGACCACCAACTTTAAGAGCCTGAACGACGTTATTCCAAAATGGAGAAATAAAAATTTTGGCAGTTTCTTTCCCTTCAGCTTCCTTTGCATATCTATTTTCTTTCCATTCATTTGAAAGAACTAGATTTCTCAAGTTTTTCTTTTGCAAGTAAAAACTATGCAAAGTCAAGAAAGCCGTTCCAAATCTAGTCTTGGCCGGTCTCACCAAATTTCTTTCATTTGTAAATTTCCTCATCAAATTCAACAACAATGGCCTCTAACTGATGTAAGAATATATCTTGACTGCCTAAGTGAAAACTGTAAGAGTAACAATAACAATTTTATAGTTAATACTTAATAGGACATAAGTATAAATAAAGTTAAAGCTTTAAAGATAACTATATTAAAGTTACCTGAAGCATATGGGTTCCCTTGAATATGTCACCAAATATCAAATTGATACAATGGGCAGCACATGGAGTCCAACAAATATGTGGATGCACACCTTTGCATCATCTTACCCGCACTAACATTCTTACTAGCGTTATCGGTAACAACTTGTACAACATTTTCCTTTCCAATTTTCTCAATAGTCTTTGCAAACAAGTTGTACATTTTGGTTGTGTCCGTAGAAGAGTTGCTAGCATCGTAAGATTCAAGAAAAATACTACCTCTTGGAGAATTCACCAGCACATATATGACCATTTTTCCATTCCGTGTTGTCCATTTATCCATCATAATGGAACATCAAAACTTGTTCCATTCCACTCTATGCTCCTCAACAATTTTGCCTATCTTCTTCACCTCTTTTTTAAGATGAGTTACTCTAACTTCATGATAGCTAGAAGGCTTCATTCCTGGGTCATATCAAAAGTTTTGTAGTTAACGCAATTGAAAAGGAGCCATGCATCGTACATCCATGTTGCAAAGGCACTTACGGCGCGTATCCCTCAAAATCTTCTTGGCTTCTAAACCTGAACCAGAATCACCTTTTCAATTTTCTTGTTGTTTTGCCGAGAAATAAAGATTGATAGGACCTTTTGTCACCGTACGCGTGGATGACCCACTAAAACTATTTCAAGATATTTTTTGAGTTTGGGGAGGAGGTCCCATTTCATCATCTTCATCAATAAGATTCATCGATGGTTCATAACTCATTTGAGTTCTTGTCACATTTTTCTTCTCAACAAATGCTTTTACTTCCTCCCTAACCTCAGGCGGACAAAGTGGACATTGTACTACATTTTTAAATCCACCAATCAAATGTTGTTTGTGACGAGTTATTCCATCATGGTATATTTTTCATAAAACACACATTTAATTGTGGATCTTGATGAACCTTGTATAGCATAATTCCAAGCTATATCATTTCTTTTATTACCATCGGATGACGTCATTTCAATACTGTTTTATAGGAAAAAATTATCAAGTCAATATGCAATTAATTCTACTCTATAACTAAAAAAGGAGGAAATTTCAGGTTTGAAATAAAGTTCTCTGCCTCTGCCCAACAGTGAAGCTATGAAGGAACTGAAAAACAAAAAACAGAGCAAAAAGAGAAAGAAGAAGAGAGAAGAACTGAAGAAAAAAAAGGAAGACAGAAGTCAGAACGGAGGAAAAATAGAGTGTTGCTCGATCAAAAAGAAAGCAAAGAAAAAAAGAAGAGAAGAAGAAGAAAATGGAAGAAAAAACAGAGCAAAAACAGACTCTCTATTCTGTTGAGTCTGCATTGTTGCTTGATGCCTCGATCAAAAACAGAGCCAAAAAAATAAAAAGAAGAGAAGAAGAAGAAGAAGAAGAAGAAGAAGAAGAAGAAAAAGGAAGAAAAAAAGAAAGGAGAAAGAAGAAAGATGAAAGAACACTGAAGAAAGATGAAAGAAGAAGAAAGAAAAAAGAAAAAAAAAGCAGAAACTCGAAGAAGAAGAGAAGCATACCTGACTGGGTCGACTTGGATGAAGAAGAAAATGGCAGAAACTCGAGATGTGGCTAGGTCGACCACTGTGGTTGTGGCTATTTGACCAAGGAGAAAGAAATCGTTGTAGCTGCTCTGCTGTTTGAAGCTTGAAGAAGAAAGAAATGTATGAAAGCCCTAATCGCGGGTCTTTTTCTTTAATCCCATGCGCTTTTTCTTTTTTTTTAAAAGCGACGTTAAATCCGCATCTCGCTACACTGTCGCCTCTTGCTACACAAGCAGAGGCGAGCGTTATTTGTAAAACGCAACGCACTGTGCCAGCGCTCATTGTAATATCAGACTCCAGAGGGGCGGATCCTGGCCCAAGCGCTAATCAATATAACCGTTGCGGCATGCAACCCGATCCAAATATCAAACCGTTGCGGCATGCAACCCGGTCCAAATGTTAGCGCTAATAGTGTGAGGCGTAGCGATGCAAGCTGAGTGTGGTTGTATGTGTGATGGTGAGGGATATTTGTGCCATGCACCCGTACAATGTTGAGTGATTTTGTGTGTGATGGTGAGGGGCATTTGTGCCCGGCACCGTGAGCGTGCTGAGTGTGAGTGTACTTGATAGCTTCACTAGGATGTTATTGACTTGACATGTAGGCATAATGATGTATTTTTCCTCATGCTAGATGGTAATGAAATGCCTTACCTGTTGTTGAAAGTTTGAAAAAATCACAGTTTCCTTGTTAAACTCGTGTTTTAGTGATTTCGGAGAAAGATTTGGGCTTTAACTATTATACTTGGAAAGCATGCCTAATTTTCTGTATTTGTGAACGAGTTGAACATGATATCACTTGAATTGTTTTATTCTACAGTCATCATTATATCATGTGTTGTTATTGATCATTGGTGTTGGACACTGGCCTTCTTCCGAGCTCGTCACTGCTTTCAGTCCGAGGTTAGGTTTGTTACTTATTGAGTACATGGGGTCGGTTGTACTCATACTAAACATCTGCACCTTTCGTGCGGATCTTGGAGTTGATGTTATTGTATACGCGGGAGCTGGTATTGATGATGTACCTGCTTTCCGGATATAGCTACCACATGTCCTTGGTAGTTTTAGATTTAAATTATGTTTATGTATATTCCAAGCAGATGTTGTATTTATTTTCATACCAGCTTTGTAAATCTAAGTCTTAGCAGCTCATGACTTGTACTACAGATCCTTGGGATATTATATGGAAGTCCAGTTATTTCATTTATTGATTATTTATAAATCTCTATTAGAATTGTGTTATCTGTTGTTTGGCTTACCTAACGGGTTGGGTTAGGTGTCATCACGATTAGGTGGATTTTGGGTCGTGACAAAAATGTTTTCCTCCATACCAAACACACCCTTAGTATAAACAGTCATCTTAGAGTTTATTTTCATTACCTAGTTATGAAATTATGAAAAGAGTTGGGGTTTTGTCCCATTTCTCTCTGATTAACCCCTCTTAGATTACGACATGTTAGGTAATTCATGTATGAATTTATTCCCCTTCTCCCTTGGATTATATCTTGTAATTGATTGTTATTTGGTTTGTTTCAAGTATCATGTATGAGTTCATTTACCTTCCCCCTTAGATATATCTTGTAATTGTTGCTTGGCGTTTACTCATTGCATTCATTATATGATTTGATCCTTTTCTTTCTTCTGTCCTTTGATTAGTGATTATTGTAGTGTTTGCACGGGTTCAACAAATCTGTAGTTGAGTTCTTGTATTCGTTCAAGCCTAGTTCCCAATCCATCTATCCATTTTATTGCTTTTCTACCAGTTTCAAGGAGTTCTTGTGGGTTGAATAGTTCAAATTCAATTTCCTTGAATCTTCCTAGGTTTGTGGTGATCAGATATAGAGGGGGTGTTTGGATTGGCTTTTAAGCTGGTCAAATCAGCTTTTAAGCTCTTTTTAGCTTTTTCCAGTATGTGAGAATATACTGGGTATGTTGTTGTTGTTGTTAGCTTTTTCCAGTGTTTGGCAAAGTTAAAAAGTGCTTAAAATAAGTTTAAAACTGCTTAAAACAAGCCAAAAGCAATAAGTTGGGCAACCCCAACTTATTGCTTTTTGGTTTAAAAGTTATTTCTGCTTAAAACCCGCCTTTTTTAAGTCAATCCAAACGGGCTCATAACCCCTTCAGCAAAATGATTTCAGCCACACTAACTCCAAAAGTTTAACACCTTAACTGGTCAAAACGATACCTTGGATACAACAGGAGTGGCATTATTTTTTTGGATAGTTACCTGGTGCACAGTCCATTTTCATTGTTTTGGTGGAATTGGTAAGATTAGAAGACAAAACATGAAATTTATAATGACCCAAAAGAGATGAAATAATGACATTAACATCAAAAAACAAAAGCAGGCAATACAGAGGAGGGGAGAGGCAATAGATATGTTCTTGGTTTACACCTTATTTGTTGAAACTAAAATCTACTGTGAAATGAACGAACATGTTTCAAACTTGTACAGTCAAATGAAAGGATTACCTTTGTTTACCTGTCTCCACCATTCATCAATTTGCTTTCCCTTTTGTAGCTGCTCATTATTCAAATATTCTCTTGTTGCTGTATTTAGTGTCCAAATGCGCAAGTTCTGACAACTGCTAATGAAATCAAGTAGGATACTTTGAGGATTATTGGGATCAGAGCTTTTCTCCTCTTTATGGAACGAAAGAATTTTTCTGGTTGTCTCCACCTAACAGCAAATTGTGTGAGTCACCAAAGAGATACTACAATCGGCTCAAACATCAAAAACTTACTTTAATTACTCAAAATTATATCTTAATGAATAGCGGGAAAAGAAAATCAAAAATAAAAAGGTACAAGAAGATTGAGATACTAATGCTTTTAGACATGAAAAGAACTGCCAATGACAGATCTCTGGTTCTGCATCCGGAGGAGGAATTTTCTTTTAAAATTATGGTACACCTCAACCCCCAAACCCTCCCCCGTCCCCCGATAAAACTTCCCAAGGAGCCAACAGCGGCTTTTCCAACTTGCTCCCTTGGTGACTCACCACCCCATGGTGGAGGGCCATCTCCACTACGCGTACGCGATCATTCCCTAGGAAATCTCGAAAACCAGAGACAGATAAATATGAAAATAAAAAAAAATAAAAAACCAATCAACTAGCACCAAAAACATCAAGGTCACTACAAAACGATTGTATTAAAGTGCAATCAGTTTATATCCTCTTTATCTTTAAAAAGTGATCAGTATATAGTTAAGATGGAAAACCTTTCTTGAATCTGTATTTAAAGCATTCATCACTAGTTCAACCCGAATAATTTGTGCAAGTAACCACGTAACATGGTTCGTCCTAAGTATTTGTTGATCACCCTCTTGAAGTCGCAATACTAACTTGTCCACAAACTCCACAAAATCAACGCATCCACTTTTCACGAGAAAAAAGAATATATCTGAGAAGATAAGCCACTCCTGCCAGCAATTGATTTCTGCAGAAGTAAGAAGAACAAATAAAAGCTATCAAACTAAGTCCATTACAAAGGGGGAAAGCAACTTACTAGGAAGCAGAGTAAATCCTTAAAGTTAACAATATACTAATTAAACACACATTATCTAAGAGCGGACATATTATGTGACCAAATATGCAAGAGGACTTTTCCTTAGAGGCACACATCCAAGAGAACAGTTCTCACTTCTCACCCATAGCAAACACCAAGCAGCACATTTAATTGTCAAAGTTAGACAAGATAAACCCATATAGCACAACTATTTTGAAAAACACTTTCAGGTCTTCTTGTACTTTTCTTTCAAGCACTTTGCTTTATGCCATGCCCTTGGATTTAGACCTTTCTGAATCAACTGTGGAAAGCAGTACTTTTTGTTCTCTATCAGATTAACATGATTTACTTGCACAAGACAATAAATATTACAACTCTTTTAATCAGGATATAGAAGGTAAGAATCCTGTTGACAATACTCTAGCCAACTAGTAATACTGATAATAACATCATAAGAAAGAGAAGGGGAAAAACAGAGTAATGTACAAATTGGCAATTGCTAACACAATCTCAGGCAGAGTTTGAAGTTTGAAAATGTTGCCTGAATTAGTCAACTTCAATAATTCAACAATTCTTTCAATCGCTGCTTCGCAAACCATTTCTGATGTAAAAACGGCACCCGGAGTTGGAGCCTGGGCATGAAGCCTGTGACAGGGAGCCACGAGAAGCACACGCCTCCACCAGTCTGGTGATGGACTGTTACGAAGAGCATGCTTTAGAATACGCAAAGCTCGCTCCCAATCCAGACTCCCTTTTTGAATGGATGCTGCAAGATCCTATTTCCAAATAAATGCAAGTAAGTTTACACATCACAAAGATTCTTTAACTAAGAGGCATTATAGATCAGCTTTTGCACAAGTGTCAGAATATCCTCAAGATATAACCACTGGTCGATGTAAGATACATAAAGGTCTGGCGGCATACAGATAAACATTAGCACAAACAAATAGAGAAAACTGATACAGGCAATATGTGCTATAGTTGTTTCATGCAGATTGAAACTGGCCTTGGAGCTCGAGTTACATATTTCATCTCTTGGTCAAACATCGTTTCCGATGCAGCACTTCTGACTGAGATAAGTAGCTCAGCATACATGAATATGCCTCCAATATGACTTAACAATCTGATTCAATTAAGTGTATAAGATAAAGAGTTGTACTTGATTTTTGTGTATCACTATCACCTAGAACCCCCGTCCTAAAGATTATGAGGAAAATGTAAATGTGATTTGCAAGGACTTGAATGGGTGACAATAGCTATAGCATACACTTCACTTGGTTGCTGCCAGTACTATCTTTTCATTACCCTAAGCCACAGATTATCTGACTCCAAAAAGGCACCCAAGGGTGTGGCCTAGTGATCAATAAAGTGAAATGAAAAAAAAAAATGGGAGACCACAATTCGAATCAAAAACACTTGGTGATTTCTTCCAAGTCTATCTAAGCCTTGGTGGGAAAAGTTACCCTTTACCTCTGCATGTGGGGAGATAGCAGGTACCACTAGATGAAAAAATGGAAGTGCGTCCAAGTTGGCTTGGACACCACCGGTATCAAGAAAAAGTAGTAGCAGTAATAATAATAATAATGATAATATTCCGACTCCCAAAGCCAACAGTACAACCAGTTCCCACACAATGAGTGTGTTTTCTGAATTTTTGATTCATAGGGACTCAAATCCTCCCCATCCCAAAAAAAATAAAAAACCTTGTCCCTTCTTTAGATTTGCAAGCAAAAACTTTTTGTTTGCAATATGGTCTCCTGTACCTCATCCATGCCTTGCAAAAGAGAATCCCTCATGCAACGCCAACAACTCTTATGAACTAAAGGATTAATAGTAGATAACTTGAGATGGACAACAAACGTAACTAACAAAAAAAGGCCCCTTATTGTGAAAATCTTATGATCTAAACACTTCCTGATACGTACAACAATAGTATCGCCAGAAGTACCAAAGCAAGGATTGCTCAAAGAATTCTTAATTGGCCAGGAAGGTATACCACTAGGAATATGAAACAAGGTTAAATAGTAGAGAGCATTAACAGAGAAACAAAGACTGAGTCAACCAAGTAAGGCCCTAAATATAGAGCAGATCTCTGTATGCATCTAAAAGCTTCTCAAATATTCAACAAGATACCATCAGGCATCAGCTACGGAATAAGGAATTGTCCTTAGAACTTCTAAGTTGGCAATCATCAGGCCATGAATACTATAACCGACTAGCCAATCTATCTAGAACTAGAATAGCTCCGTCTACATTTATAACTATACCAAATGAATTGATCATGTTAATTTTCATCCAAAAAAAAACTTAAAACTTAAAGCAAGTATCAAATTCGTGAAAGAATCATCAAAAAATGGGAACAATAACTAAGGCATCCAGGAGCTGAAGATAGGACCATTAGATCTCCTTTGACTGCTTGGTTAGAGCCACCATTCATCACATTTAATAGAAGTTAGTAAGGGTCAAATTCAGTAAATTTATCAGGTTTAATAGGAGTTAGTAAGGTTGAGAAACAATAAATTACAGGAAGTAATCACATGAAGTTCTATACAGAACCATTGAACTAGGTAAGGAGAGAAACCACCCATTCAACTAAAGAGGACTAGGTAACAAGAGACTCTACTCAATCAACTAAAGAATCAGAAATGGCCAGTGAATGTGGTAATATTTATAGCCAACCACATAAAACCGGCATTAGACATAGGCCACTATAGAACAGATCAGCAACGCCAGCCCATGGTCTCAGCACTAGTCACTCACTATAGTCTCAGCACTTATCGCCTTTTAACACCGCCACTCACTATGGTCTCAGCACTAGTCACTAGAAATCATATCCTAATATTCCAAACTGCCCAAGTCTTGCTGGAAAAAGCAATTAAATGTCAAAAGTAATTGATCAAAGAGCAATCAAGTTTGCCACCCTTCTGCACTCCTCCATAACAGTTCCATCATTTTTTTTATCTTTTGATAAGTAACAGGTCCATGACTAATTTAACCAAAGCTAAGGTTGGAAGATGTATCAAGTTGGTATACATAATAAGCTTCAGTAATAAAGCACTACAGTGATGTTCTAGAATTTCTTTTTGATATCACTAGATTTAGTGTACGCGTGTTGCGCGTGTTTCCCATCTCAATGAGTAATTTTTTATAAGAAAAATATAGTTTTAAAAAAACTTCAAGCTTTAACAATATAGATTTAGGCTTGTGCTGTTTAGTATGATTATATATGCTATTAAATGTTTTGGGTACTTAATTGAACATGAATTAATTATTTTGTATGATTAAAATAAGAATTTAAAGTATACATTTAGTTATTTTGAATTGAACAATTTTAATTTAGACATTGAAGGCACGTATAAAACCGTTGCTATCTTGATTTTATGAGTATGGCACAAAGGTTTTATTTTCAATTAGTATAATTTATATAAGGTAAAATGTCAATCGATTTTAAATTACTAGATATTAGGATTTCTTGCCTAGTTTAATAATGAAAGATTTAAAATGTAAAATTTTAATAAATACAAAGTCCGAAATATTAGAAAAGCAACTTAAATTACAATTTTGTCCATTGTGAAAGTTATACCTCGTCTCTATGAGTAATAATTTACATAAAATTTATGTTTCAATTATTTAAAAAATGTATAAGCTCCTGAAATTGATGAATGTTGATTCTATATAGCTAACTCAGTTCGAAGAAACTCTATCTCATAAAAGTCTTCAATTATCATTTAATATATTCACCTTAAACTTTGTTCCAACTTCATAATACTATCAGTTCAGTTTCATAAATTATCATACTTTCTTTTTAGTTTCAACATAACATACAACCTTGAAGTTTTAAGATTTTTTTCCAAAGGTCCGACATTTTAAGTATAACACATAAGAAAATACTTTGACAAATTCGTCGCTAAATAAATTAACTTTAATATTATTTAAAACTTCAAGAAAAAATTACAATTGACGAACAAAGAAAATTAATTAGCGTGTTTACTTTTGAGTTAGAATTTATGTGTGCCTATTTTTTAGTAGCTTCAAAGTAGTGCAAATATGACTAAAGAATTATGCAAATATGAGTTCTTAATTTTTAACGTTTTGATAAAAAAAGAATCTTATAGTTTAATTCTACTTTAATACTAACTGGCTTTAAATAAGGACATTTATAAATGGTAAAATTTAATTGATTTTGAAGTCTAAATATTATGATTTCTTACAAAGTTTAAATAAGAAACAAAGTTAATATTCAAAATTTTAGCAGATTTGAAAATTCTAAATATTAGAATAATAATTAAATAATAATTTTATCCAATGTGAAATTTGTTGACTTTATTATTAAAAATTTTAGGAGAAAATTATATTAATAATTCGATATTCCTTTTAATTTTGCCAAATATAATGAGTATTTTTACTTTTGAGTTATAGCTTATGTGTGCCTCTCTTTTTGTAGCTTCAAAGCAGAGCAAATCTGATGGAAAAAGAATAGTGACATTTTGAACAATAAAAGAATCTTATAATTCAATTCAAACTTTAATATTAACGGGATCTAAATAGGGAAATTTATGTGAAGTGAAATTTTAGTTAATTTTACAGTCTTAAATTAATATTATGTTTTTCTACACAGTTTAAATAAAAAATATTTAATAACCAAATTTTTAGTTGATAGTGCCTATAAGACATAAATATATTCCAAATACCTAAAAGGTTGAACTCAGAGTCCTATTTGAATGAGCCGCAAGGATTCACGTTACATTAAATATTAGAGAGTCCTAAATATTGTATAATTTTATTCACGTAATATAGGATAGTTAAGATTGTATATTATAGTTATGATATATAATTCAACTAAGGGAAAAATATATAAGGCAAGTTTAGTTGATTTTCAATTCCTTAATATAGGAAAAATAATTAAATTACAATTTGTCCAGTGTGAAATTCATTTTTAGAGGGTAAAAAGACGAACGACATTTCGCTAAGGGGCTTCGTGCTTTTAATATAATATAGATAGGGACCAAAATCATTTAGTCAAAAATAATTGAAGCACATTAGAATACTACTATCCTTCTTCGACTAAAGACGGGCAGAAAACAAAGTTGTATATGAATTTTCTATCACAGATCGAACATATATTATTGTTGATGTTAAGGAGACTAATAGCCTGTTTGGCCAAGTTTTTTGGGGGGCCAAAAGTGCTTTTTTGGCCAAAAGTGCTTTTGGCCAAAAATTGAGGTGTTTGGCCAAGCTTTTAGATGAAAAAAAGGTGCTTTTGAAGAGAGCAGAAAAAAGTAGTTTTTCTCCAAAAGCACTTTTCTGAGAAGCACTTTTGAGAAAAATACACTTACAAGCATTTTTCAAAAGCTTGGCCAAACACTAATTACTACTCAAAAGTGCTTTTCAAATTAATTAGTCAAACACAAACTGCTTCTCACCAAAAGCACTTTTTTGAAAAGTACTTTTGAGAAAAGCACTTCTCAAAATAAGCTTATTTTAGAAGCTTGGCCAACCAGGCTATAAGAGGACAGCTAAAAATTGATGCTAAAATGTCTCTCTGTCTGGAAGATGTCTCAACTGCTCCTTCATTCTCAAGCAAACAGATTCCCTATTAACATTTCTTTTTTACTATTTACATATTTTTATCAGTAAGCTTCTACACAATATTTTAACATGTTTCTAATAAGATATCACATATACACACCTCTCCATGCAGTGGTTCCCCAAGCACACTAGGATATGTAATTGGTGAATATCTCATGTTAGCAACTGCTTCACCGGACGAACTTGCAGTGGCTTGAGGCAGAAGTCGAGGGGTCCCAAATGTAGGGCAGTGAAGGTGTTGATCCAACATTTGCATATGCATAGCCATCATATCTCGCCTCCGATGGATCTCCAAAATAAGAGTGAACAGAGCTTCATCATCTGGTATGTTTTCTAAAAACTGCAACCCACTCCGGAGAAGTTCATAAAATGGTATGTGGCATTTATCATTCTCTACCAGCAACCAAATAACATCTAAACAGCTGTGTAGCCACTCAATTAGAGCCTTATCTGGTTTCCAATATTTCGCACTATCAAATTCATCAACACCATGTAACTTTTGGTCCCAATTAATCAACCAGTTCAACATATGGTGGAAAACTTCGGCATGTGTTCCTGGCTTAAGACTAGAATCTAGACCAGTTAAAATAATTTTGCAACATATTTGACGCAGACTGCTTGCAGCATTATCCCTTGTCAATAAATTCACTTTTGCGATGGACTGTTGGCTAGTGCCATTAACATCAGAAGACTTCATGGGAGACAAAGCAGCAGAAGATGATGGTTCAGCTGTGGACTGAACAGGGGACCCAATACCATGGACAGTAGGCAAAGGAGATGCAGGATTTGATGAATGAAAATTAGAGGTACTCGCTACTGCGGTGGAAGATGGCAGCAATCCAGACTGTGTTAAATTAGCAGAAGAGACCGCACCAGATAGCTGATTGCCCTGACTTGCGGATATCTCCGTAGATGAAACTGAGGAAAGAAGAGAAGGCAAGAACGTATCCCAGTTTATGTATCCTATACTAGACAAACTGCATATGGCGAAGAGAAGAAATTCTGCATGAGGTGCGTGACTGCTGCACTGAATAACCAGAGAAATAAGAACAGATTCTGCCACTGCACGTAGTTGTTCCTGATCCTGGGATAATATGTAAGACAGAAGAACAAGCATGTATTACAAGATTTTATCAGATGTAACAAATAGAAGATAAAAGACGCAAGGATCCAACAGAGCAATTATTTTCCAAGTGAAAAAACTTACAGCAAATTGGCTCTGAAGCTGTCCAAAATCTAAGACAAATTGCTCATTTCGTGGAGGAAGCTCTCTGTTAAGAGCAGTTACTCGCTTCTGTGTCTTATTCCTGTATATCTCTTGCATCAGCAATCAATCATAAGACTTTGTTTCTTTTTTAATCAGTGCAATCAATTGTAAAACTTTTGGCATCATAGAGCAAATATGCACTAGTTCGGAAGTTGAAAAGAGAAGAGAAGCATAATTGAAGATCACACTATGCCAGTTACCAAGTGCAACAAAACATAACTTCATAAGCCTATAGTCATCACATCTTATTTCACAAAATTTAAAAAAAATCATATCTTTTCATGCTTAAAAGAAACTTCAAGTTCCACATATATGATTGCTTAATGTCAGATCCAATGAGAAGAAACATGAGCAAATCATCTAAGCACTCAACTCCTCATGTAAGAAGACTTCTGCTTCTTTCACTTTTGGAGCAACATTTTAATCTCACCTGCTGATTTTACCAGATTTATTGATTTAAGTATCTGTACTTGCTTCTAAGATTTACCATCTGAAATAAAAATATTGTTGTGTACTCTTGCCATGAAAACAGAATGGTAGGTACATATGGGATTCAGTCCCCCCACCCAATACCCATACAAGAAAAAGAAAGAGTTAACTAGAATTTTCAAATTCCCAAAACGTAAGGTTAGAACCCGTTCTGTTTAGTTTATCCTGGAACATAGATGCATAAAAACCAAAAATCTCAATTTCTTTTTGTGCTCTTCTTAAGTAGAAGCAAGAAATGATGTTGATTGCAAGTATAATAAACCTATTCTTCTCTGATAATAAGTAAAGCCCTTGTGCAACTCCAAAAGGTAAACCTTAATGTTGCCTTGTCTTCAGTCTCACCTCCAATTCCTCTTTGCTGTGTTCATGAATCAGTAACATGAAATATGACTGGAAGATAATAAATAAAACGTTTGGTGCATTAGATGCCGAATATATGGAGGACCAAGTCCAACAAACCCCAATTCATAACCGGCATCAAATAAGCTAACTTTTTCATGTTTTTTCATTTAAATAGCTGTGGTAATTAGACTTCCCCCCCACCCCCACCACTCCTTGACTTTACCTAAAATAATTTTGTAATATGGCCAAATTTTCATGACATTTGCCATGACATAATATCCATTATAACAAATTTGTGATTCATGACATTTGCCATGACATAATATCCATTATAACAATTTTGTGGATCATGACATTTGCCATGGCATAATATCCATTATTAGACCAAGGATTTCTTGCTATAAATAGAGGAGTTTCTCCTCATTTGAAAACACACCAATTCAAGAGCTTTTCACTCTTGTCTTTCTTTCTCCTCCTTTATTTCGTTATAGAGTATTTTGTAAGAGAGTGAGTGTTGGGAAACACTTGTGTGAACCCTTTCTTTGGAGTGATCTTGTGAGGTTATTCTCTTGGGGTATTTGGGACTAATTAGAGTATTTACTCTAATTTTGTACTCTCTTTTGTACTCTTGTTGGTATAATAAAATTGCTCCTCTCCGCTTGTGGACGTAGGTCACCTTGACCGAACCACGTTAAATTTGTGTCTTCTTTATCTTCTTTAATTGCCGTTATTATCAACTTACATTGTCTTTGTTATTGTCATTATAACGTTGTTTGGCTAAATTCCGCACTACCCGGTAACCCGATCTTAACAAATTGGTATCAGAGCCAGATCTAACCGGGTTAGTTTAAAAATCCAAAATGACTCTAACAAAGTCTTATGTTGAGAAATTTGACCGAAGTGCAAACTTCGGAATGTGGCAATTAAAGATGGAAGCTATCCTAATTCAGNNNCAGAAAGCTCAGCCAAAGGCATATGGGAAAAGCTTAAAACCCTATATATGAAAAGAACAGTAGAAAACAGGCTTTACCTAAAGCAAAAACTCTACACTTTTCGTATGGCTGAAGGTACCTCTATACTTACACATCTTGATACTTTTGATTCTCTTCTTATGAATTTAAGTAACATAGATGCTGAAATCAAAGATGAGGATCAAGCTGTGTTATTGCTTGTTTCTTTACCCAGTCGTTTAAACATATAAGAGATACTATGCTTTATGGAAAGGATAATATCTCTTATAAAGATATCAAATCTATTTTGAAATTAAAAGAACAAATAGATAGAGATATTACTAGGAAAACTAGTGGGAACCAAGGGGAAGGCATATTCATAAGAGGTAGATCCAATAAGAAAGATTTAAATAGTGAGAAACCTAAATCAAGGTCAAAATACAGATACAGAAATGTCATATGCAAATATTGTCATAAGAAAGATAACATTATTTCTGAATGCTTTAAATTGAAAAACAAAGAAAAGCATACAGAAAACAAAAATGAGCACAAAAATAC